TCGTTCAGGCGGGGCCTCCCTGCAGGGGTGGGAGGGGCACGAAACCATGTAAATAGTATGGTTTTCGGATACCCTCCTCGCTCAGGCGGGGCCTCCCTGGAGAGGTGGGAGGGGCACGAAACCATTAAATAGTATGGTTTTCGGATACCCTCCTCGCTCAGGCGGGGCCTCCCTGGAGGTGTGGGAGGGGCACGAAACCATGTAAATAGTATGATTTTGCTCCCTGGAGGTGTGGGAGGGGCACGAAACCATGTAAATAGTATGGTTTTCCGATACCCTCTTCGCTCAGGCGGGGCCTCCCTGGAGGGGTGGGAGGGGCACGAAACCAAGTAAATAGTATGGTTTTCCGATACCCTCCTCGCTCAGGCGGGGCCTCCCTGGAGAGGTGGGAGGGGCACGAAACCATGTAAATAGTATGGTTTTCGGATACCCTCCTCGCTCAGGCGGGGCCTCCCTGGAGGTGTGGGAGGGGCACGAAACCATGTAAATAGTATGGTTTTCGGGTACCCTCCTCGCTCAGGCGGGGCCTCCCTGGAAGGGTGGGAGGGGCACGAAACCATGTAAATAGTATGGTTTTCCGATACCCTCCTCGCTCAGGCGGGGCCTCCCTGGAGGGGTGGGAGGGGCACGAAACCATGTAAATAATATGGTATTCCGATACCCTCCTCGCTCAGGCGGGGCCTCCCTGGAGGGGTGGGAGGGGCACGGAACCATGTAAATAGTATGGCATTCCGATACCCTCCTCGCTCAGGCGGGGCCTCCCTGGAGGGGTGGGAGGGGCACGAAACCATGTAAATAGTATGGTGATTCCGATACCCTCCTCGCTCAGGCGGGGCCTCCCTGGAGGGGTGGGAGGGGCACGAAACCATGTAAATAGTATGGTATTCCGATACCCTCCTCGCTCAGGCGGGGCTTCCCTGGAGGGGTGGGAGGGGCACGAAACCATGTAAATAGTATGGTATTCCGATACCCTCCTCGCTCAGGCGGGGCCTCCCTGGAGGGGTGGGAGGGGCACGAAACCATGTAAATAGTATGGTATTCCGATACCCTCCTCGCTCAGGCGGGGCCTCCCTGGAGGGGTGGGAGGGGCACGAAACCATGTAAATAGTATGGTTTTCCGATACCCTCCTCGCTCAGGCGGGGCCTCCCTGCAGGGGTGGGAGGGGCACGAAACCATGTAAATAGTATGGTTTTCCGATACCCTCCTCGCTCAGGCGGGGCCTCCCTGGAGGGGTGGGAGGGGCACGAAACCATGTAAATAGTATGGTATTCCGATACCCTCCTCGCTCAGGCGGGGCCTCCCTGGAGGGGTGGGAGGGGCACGAAACCATGTAAATAGTATGGTTTTCCGATACCCTCCTCGCTCAGGCGGGGTATGGAGGGGAATGGTATGGTAGGTATGGTATGGTACGGTATGGTATGATATGGTATGGTATGGTACTGGAGGTATGGTATGGTATGGTACGGTGTGGCATTGGTGTGATATGGTATGGTATGCTATGGTACGCCATGGTATGGTATGGTACGGTATGGTACGTATGGTGGTATGGTATGGTATGGTATGGTATGGTATGGTATGGTATGGTATGTGTGGTAGGAACTATGGTATGGTATGGTGTGTGTGGTAGGAATAATATTGTGCTGTATGGAAGATGGAGCGGGAGGTGGGTGGGAAGGAGAGGGTGTTCTGGGAAAACAAGAACCCCACTCAGGATGTGGGGAACAATTCAAAAAAATCCCGGGTTGAAGTCGGGTGTTTTTCCAAATGTGGTTCGCGCCTTCGCGCCGCGCACGTTGGCTTTAAACATTGCAAGAGCTTCACGGGTGGAGGGCGGGTGGTTTTCAACATGTGGCTCTCGCCGTAGCGCCGCGCACATTCGTTGCAAGAACATTGCAAGAGCTTCACGGATTGAGGGCGGGTGGTGTTCAACATGTGGCTCTCGCCGTAGCGCCGCGCACATTCATTTTACACACTCGCAGGACCTTTACGGATGGATGGCGGGTGGTTTTCAAAATGTGGCTCTCGATTGAGCGCGGCGCACATTCGCTTAAACGACTTGCAAGGGTTCCACGGGCTGAGGGCGGCTCCGTGTGAAAATGTCGCTCCCGTCTTACCGCCGCGAATATTCGTATAAAATGCACGGAATTTCACGGATTCACATGATCAGGGTACCAGAGATTGCCTTTTGGAAAGATTCAGAGAGTGCAGCAATTACGTTGGTTCGGGGTGTTGAAGTCCTAGGAATTGCGTTCTGGTGCGATTCAGGACCGTCAAGACGCAACAGTCAGGTTGACCCGTGGCGTTGGAATCCCGGGAACAATGTCTTGGCATGCTTCAGGGTCTTCAAAAAGTTGTCCTTCAACGAGGCAGTTCCCTCAGTGGAAATGAAGCATCGCAGTGGCCTGAGAAGAGGAAACTTGGAGGGAGCGTTGATTCCAACATCGTTGATGACCCTTGGGTTTACACTGGTTCTCCTCCTCCTCCTCCTCCTCCTCCTCGTCCTCATTCTCCTAGTCCTCCTCATCCTCCTCCTCCCTCTTCCTCCTCCTCCTCGCCCCCGCCGGCTCTACCTTCACCTCCACCTCCATTTCCCTGCTGCTCTTTCTCTTGCCTTTCTCCTCCCCATCCTCCTCTGATACCACTGCTCCCTTGGGCCTCCCCCCGGGCGCGTCCTGACCAGGATTCCGCTGCGAATCCCGCCGTGGCGACGAGGACCTTCCGTGGAACGGCAGCGATATCGGCATCAGCTCCTCCCAAGAGTGACCCTAATCGTCTTTCCTTCGGGTAATGACTCGGATCTCCAGCGGCCGCTCGGGACAATTCGGGCACCCCCAGAACGCCCTCGGCGAGCGCGGCTGCTGGAAAGCCTCGCTTGGAGAACCGCAACAAAAATTGAAGAGAATGGCCCCGAGAGGTTGGAGGAGTCTGCCTCGGGGATCTACTGACCCGGGTCAATCCCAACCTGGGCCAGTCGAGCTTTGCAGAATCCTGAAAGATACTGCAAGATCCTGCACCCAAACCCGTGTCAGTGCGCCCCTGGCTCTGCAGGATCCTGCAAGACCCGGCGTTCTGACCGACCCCCGTTTGCGTTGACCCCCGCCCCAGGAGCGGCCAAGAGGGGGGTGCCCAAGAGGGGGGGGTGCAAGTCATGACCGGCGGCACGTGCGCGGCCCAGCGGGGGGGCCAGGGACGTACTGAAATGAGAAGAGGCGCCATGAGATCTGGGGCAATATATTAGAGGAAAAAGAACTATGCACATGCACCGGTTCTGGCCAGGCCCATCCTGAGCCCAGGATCGGTGCATACGCCCTCCTACCTTGGCCAGGAAGGCATATGCACCGATCCTGGGTCAAAAATGGGCCTTGCCAGGATCGGTGCATGTGCATAGTTCTCTTCGCCCGATATATCATGACCCCCGCCCTGATATCCCCCCCCCGTAGTCACCGCCCCCCTCTTTCCCGCCCCCGACCGCCCCCCGAGCTCCGTGACCCGACCTCTTCCCCGGGACCGGCGGCGCGTCCCGAGCCGATGCTGGACAGCCACGGGGCCTGGCGGGGGGGGGGCCCTGGAAGCCCAAAACTACCCCCCGAAAAAGCCCCCCTCGCTCTCCCCTCGCAGCGAGAGGACCCCGAGATGGGAGGCGGCAAGAAAAAATACAACATCGTACCAAAATCACGCCCAGAGCCCCGGACCCCCTCTTGCTGGCTCCTGCTTGTTCGAGCCAGATCGACAGGCGAGGGCCCCGAGGCCCGCCACCGGGCGAAGACGCCGGATGGAAAAACAGCAGCGCCGGGCTCCCGGAGGAGCCTCTCACAACGAGAGGTGTTGCGTGGCGTGCGCGAGGCCCTAAGAGAAATGGAATCCGTGCAAGTCGGGTCTGACTTGTACGCCCGCTCGGCCCAGCGCTGTCTGAAACAGGGCGGCGGAGGGGGGCAGGCAGACCTGCTCGAGTCCGAAGAGCAGCAGCCTGCGTCTGATGGCCCTGGGGCAGGGCGAAGGCCCCCCAGGACCGAACATGGCAAGAGAAGGCGTCCGTCGTGATGACTGCGTGAGGCTCCTCGGCCTCCTCGCCCGCTGCGGCGCGCGCGCGGCCGGCGCCAGCGCTGCGGCCAGCCCGGCAGGCGAGGGCGCGGCGGCCTGCTGCACGGCGCCGTCTGGCGGCGCGCCGGCCGGGTGCGCGCTGGCGGGCGGCGCCCTGGAGGCCGGTGTTCCGTGCAGACGCTGACGAGTTTACTCGCCTGGAGGGGGGAGGGGTGTGATGAACCAGAAGTGGAGGGGCAACGAGGGGGGGGGGAACCGCACAAGGGGGGAAGCATCGACCTGGAATCGGCGATACATCGCCGATAGCTCCGCAATAGGCCCCCGATAGTGAATCCGCACGTTCCTGGGCAGGTTGGGGCTATGGAGCCCCTATCGGCGATCAATGGGCGATTAGGGGTCGATGCAACCCCCCTGCGCCCATCCCCCCTATCGTTGCCCCTGAAAAAAACAACAACCCTTTGGCAGGGGACCCAAGTAGTGAGGGCCAAGATCAGTAAGGATAGCGGCCCTTTTCCCTGCAAGTGTCTCGAACCAAGCCGCCCAAGTCTATGACTACGATCCCTGAAATGCAGAGACGGGGGGCCTCGGTGAGGCCCCGTCTCCAGTGTTCATAGGGTCAGGGGTTCTGTCCTTCTCGATGAGGGTGGAGGCGGTGCGAGTCGGCTACACGCTGGAGTGACCCTTGGCCATCGCTCGGACGTCCGTGCCCTGTGCTTTTTTCGGTTTCGTGCGTGGTTCTTTCGCCAAGTGATCAAGGATGCTCCTCGATGGTCCTCGCCGAAAGAAAAATGCACACGTCCGACCGATGCCAAGGACCCTAGGCCTTTGCGCGTGGTGCGACAGCACCGGCCTGCGTGCTTGGGCCTGGCCCCGCAGCGCCCCGCGAGGGCCGCGCACCGCAGAGGTCACTCCCGCGCAGGGCCACTCTCACGCGCAGCCTGGCGAGATCCGAGAGGGAGGCTGGATTTCACGCAGGCGGTGACTCCCTTGCACGCCGTTACGGCCCAGCGTGGCTCGAAAAGGCGGTGGAGGTGGGGGGAGGGGGGGGGGGGGGGGGGAAATGCAGTGCACGGAAACGTGCTGCCTGGGTCGAAAAGAAAAGCGCCCTCCTGGGGACGCAGAAGTCCCAGCTGCGGCCCGCGACGTCGGAGAACCAGGGCCCCGGGCTGAGGGCGCCCGCGCCGGCCTCGCGGGGGCGCTGTGCCGCAGCAGGGGGTCGCCGAAGCGCTGAGGACGGCGGCGGCCAGCGGCTGGCGGGCTCCAAGCCGAGGGAGGCGACGGTGGCACCAGCGTGATGACGATGGTGATGTTGGTGTTGATGTTAATGATGGTGGACGACGACGACGACGAGGATGACGACGAGGACGACGACGAAGCAGGGGCCCAGGCTAAGGGTGCCCGCGCCAGCCTCGGGGGGGAGCTGCCCAGGGCTCCGACGAGATGATTTTGTCCAGTCGTGGTGTTTTTCCCTCGAGCTCGGCTTCTGGGGCAAGGTACGGTCGGGAGCTGTTGGATGGCGTGTCGCCACCGCGGCCCCGGCGACACGCTGGGTCCTGCGAGCGGAGGCACATCGTGTCGCTCCGCTCCGCGGGGCGGGAGGCTCAGAAGGGCTCGGGACGTGGACGCCTTGGAATAGGGAAGTGGACAGCATGTCGCACCAGAGCGTGGTGGGCCAGACCAGGCGGAGCGACACGCTATCCAAAAGTTCCTCATCAGACGGGGCACACAGGACCGTCAAACATAAACCCGGGACGAGAAACCATCCCCGGGGAAGCGGTCGGGACCTCCGAGACAGCGGACTGAGACATCAGATCGGCCGAGGTTCGAAGTTCGCGGTTTTCGGGCACGTGTTCGTCGGTTCTCGGCGGTCTCCCAGACCCAGGCTGCCCTCCAGTGGCTGCGCCTCGCCGAGAGCTCTCTGGGGTGGTTCCCAACATGGAGCTCTCGCATCAGCGCCGCGCACATTCGTCTCTCAAGTTTGCAACAGCTTCGAGGATGGAGCGCGTGTCCTGTTCAGACTGGAGCTCTCACCCCGGCGCCGCGAGCAGTCGTCGAAGTCTGCAGCAGCTTCACGGGTGGAGGGGGGGGGTCAAAAGAGGGGTCTCGTCTCAGCGCCGCGCACACTCGCCTCGAAAATTTGCCACGGCTTCAATGTTGGAGCGCGGCTCGTTTTTTCGAGAGGGGGTTCTCGCCTGAGCGCCGCGCACCTTCGTCTTCCAATCGGCGGCGAGCGAGGGGGGGAGGTGAGAAGGGGCGGGCCGTCTCAGAAGGCTCGGCAGTCCCCCAGCCATCTGAGAAGTGTTCTGAGCCTTCCAGGGCTTCCGAGAAGTCCCGCCGCCTTCTGAGAAGGCCTTCTCCTTCTCACTTCCCCCACGCGCTCGCCGCCGACACAAGTCTGCGACGGTTACAAGGAGTGTGGCCGGTTCCTCTTCAGAACGGGGCGCTCGCGCAAGGCTTCTTGGCATGAAAGACCAGACGCTGCAACAGACGCAACAGCTGCATCGATGAAGGGCGGGTCCACTCCAACATTGGGTGCTCGGCTGAGCCTTCTGCGGCAGGACCAGGAACGTGTTCTGCAAGGCGACAGCTACACGGACTGAGGGCGGCTCCTTGTCACAGTGAGGCTTTCGCTTGAGACGTCCTCGACGATCATGGCCTTCCTCATCGCTCTCCCCCCTCCCTCATCCCTCCTCCGCCCTCCTCGTCCTCCTCCTCCTCCTCCTCCTCCTCCTCCTCCTCCTCCTCCTCCACCTACTCATCCTCATCCCCAGCGTCTTCATCCCGCTCCCCATGTCCTGCTTCATCAAGCTGTCCGCTCCCCGCTCCCCTTGTTTAGTGGGACTGGCAACCAAATCGTACAATAGCCCATGGCGGTCTTCCTGCTGGCTGCAAGCCCCAGAATCAGAAAGAGGATGGATGAGACGAACAGGGAAGACGAGAAAGAAGAGGGGGAGGTGCGCGTAACTGGCTCAAGAAGCCAGGCAAGGGGCCTGTGCGCACCGCTCTCACGGGCCGCCAAAAGCTCGTCAGCGGGAAGATTCCGAAAATTCCGTTCCCTCTGCCCCCCTCTTTCGCAGCCATGTCGAGGTGACGGTTGGGGGGCCACGAAACGTGTGAGGGGTGTGCCGAATTGGGTGTGCGGGACGCATGCGGGCACACCCACTGGGACCTTCGGTGGAGCCCCCTTACGGGGCCACGAAACGTGCGAGGGGTGTGCCGAATTGGGTGTGCGGGACGCATGCGGGCACACCCACTGGGGCCTTCGGTGGAGCTCCCTATTGGACCACGAAACGTGTGAGGGGTCACGAAACGCGTGAGGGGTGTGCCGAATTGGGTGTGCGTGACGCATGCGGGCACACCCACTGGGGCCTTCGGTGGAGCTCCCTATGGGGCCACGAAACGTGTGAAGAGTATGCCGGAATGGGTGTGCGTGACGCATGCGGGCACACCCACTGGGACCTTCGGTTGAGCTCCCTATGGGGCCACGAAACGTGTGAGGGGTGTGCCGAATTGGGTGTGCGTGACGCATGCGGGCGGCAGCACTGGGGCCTTTTCGGCGGAGCTCCCTATGGGACCACGAAACGCGTGAGGGGTGTGCCGAATTGGGTGTGCGTGACGCATGCGGGCACACCCACCGGGACCGTCGGTGGAGCCCCCTTACGGGGCCACGAAACCTGTGAGGGGTGTGCCGAATTGGGTGTGCGTGACGCATGCGGGCGGCAGCACTGGGGCCTTCGGCGGAGCTCCCTATGGGGCCACGAAACGTGTGAAGAGTATGCCGAAATGGGTGTGCGTGACGCATGCGGGCACACCCACTGGGACCTTCGGTGGAGCTCCCTATGCCCCTATGCGTGACGCAAGCACTGGGCCTTCGGCGCTCCCTATGGGGCCACGAAACGTGTGAGGGGTGTGCCGAATTGGGTGTGCGTGACGCATGCGGGCGGCAGCACTGGGGCCTTCGGCGGAGCTCCCTATGGGGCCACGAAGCGTGTGAGGGGTGTGCCGAATTGGGTGTGCGTGACGCATGCGGGCGGCAGCACTGGGGCCTTCGGCGGAGCTCCCTATGGGGCCACGAAACGTGTGAGGGGTGTGCCGAATTGGGTGTGCGTGACGCATGCGGGCGGCAGCACTGGGGCCTTCGGCGGAGCTCCCTATGGGGCCACGAAACGTGTGAGGGGTGTGCCGAATTGGGTGTGGGTGACGCATGCGGGCGGCAGCACTGGGCCTTCGGCGGAGCTCCCGGGCCACGAAACGTGTGAGGGGTGTGCCGAATTGGGTGTGCGTGACGCATGCGGGCGGCAGCACTGGGGCCTTCGGCGGAGCTCCCTATGGGGCCACGAACGTGTGAGGGGTGTGCCGAATTGGGTGTGCGTGACGCATGCGGGCGGCAGAGGGGTGTGCCGAACGTGTGGGTGTGCCGTGACGCATGCGGGCGGCAGCACTGGGGCCTTCGGCGGAGCTCCCTATGGGGCCACGAAACGTGTGAGGGGTGTGCCGAATTGGGTGTGCGTGACGCATGCGGGCGGCAGCACTGGGGCCTTCGGCAGAGCTCCCTATGGGGCCACGAAACGTGTGAGGGGTGTGCCGAAATGGAGGAGGGAGGAGGGAGGAGGGGGAGGAGGAGAGAAGAGGAGAGGAGAGGAGAGGAGAACGCGGGGCGACGTCTCTTCAAAACGAGGACCCAACACCACGGGATGGTTGGGAAAAACGGAGTGGTCGGGAACGAAAGGTTCGCGAGGGCGCTGCCTTCCCAGACATGCGATGTCTTGACTTTTCAATGCGGGGTCCCCAATCCCGACCATTTCCCCAGAGCTGGTTTTCCATCCTGAGTCGTGTTGTCAGAGTCCCGAGGCCTGGCGAGAGCCCCAAGAGGCAGGTAACGGATGAAAACCTTCATTCGTGAGTTCTGTCACGAAGCGAATATGGTTGGGTCCTGTGAGATGCTGATGGGGGACGCCTCGTGGGGCCGAGCAAGGTGTGGGCAAAGGCCTCGCTTTCAGCCCAACGAGCCTTGTGAATCGGCGGCTTGCTGCACTCCTGTGGGCCCCCACCGCTCACCCCAGAGCATCCCCTCCCACCATCCTTCTCCTCCTCGCCCTCCTCATCCAACACCAGGATTATTAACATCACTCATCCCCCTCAACCCCACCAGCATCATCATCATCATCATCATCATCATCATCATCATCATCATCATCATCATCATCATCATCATCAGCATCAGCATCAGCGTCAACATCATTAGCATCATCCGCATCATCCGCATCATCATCATCAGCATCATCATCAGCAGCAGCAGCATCATTACCATCGTCAGCATCATCATCATGATCATCGCCATCAACATCATCATCATCATCATCATCATCATCATCATCATCATCATCATCATCAGTGCCATTGTCATCGTCATCAGCATGATCATCATCAGCAGCAGCATCATCATAATCATCATCATCATCAGCACCATCATCATCAGCATCATCATCATCATCCGAAGCAGCAGCAGCATCGTCATCGTCGACATCCTCATCATCATCATCATCATCATCATCATCAGCATCATCATCATCATCATCGTCGTCATCATCATCATCATAATCATCATCATCAGCGTCATCATCATCATCATCAGTAGCAGCATCGTCATCATCATCAGCATCATCAGCATCATCAGCATCATCATCATCATTATCATCATCATCAGCAGCATCATCATGATCGAGATCAACCCCACCAGCATCATCATCGGCAACACAGTCATCATAGTCAACATCATCATTACCATCATCATCGTCATCAACACCAGCATCATCATTACCATCATCAACATCATCATCATCGTCCTCATCATCAGCATCATCAGCATCAGCATCATCATTATCGTCCTCATCCTCGTCCTCATCCTACTACCCGACCGCCATCAGCAA